TCGTAGAAAATATATCGCTTGCGTAGACTGTTTATCGCAGAAGATAGATGATACAAAATACTAGGTATCGCATACTTGTTACCCGACAGGTTCACCAGGGACCCATGACGTTCTCAATGATGCGTCATTTTAATCCTGTTCTACCTAAATGCTGCAGCTTTCGTAACTTCCATAAATGCAAAAAAGGTGCGAAGATATTAGAAATCAAATTATATCAGTCAATATTTCGACTAAAGCGCCATCTAGCGGGACCATTTTTTGTAAATATATTTCCTAGTATGTATCTAATAGATGTCCTACTCTGTATCCAATACATCGGTCCAAAAATACGGGCTTTCAAAATACTTCCACCCCGGCGCCACCTAACGGGTAAATTTTTTGCAAAAATATTCCTGCATATGCAACCAATATACATGAAAAAAAACCAGATTGGAACATAACTAACATAGATTTTTGACTATAAAGACCCTCCCCAGGAAATACCCATATAAAATATTATACCTATGGAATCACGCCCATTCTTTGAAAGCGTAATTATAGAGTCAAAATTGTGGGCGCTATGATTTTCCTTCCCCTAAATCGCCGAAATTACGCACTTTGCTTCGTCAATTTAGAGTACTTAAGTTGCTGCTCCTTAGCAGACCACATATTTGGACTAATGGTTCGCTGTGAATTCGGGTGGATGAAATATAATACGTCAGCTATCAGTGAAAACGAGGTATTATCTCCATACTATAGTTATCGCATCCGCTTTGTCGAATGCCATCAGCTGAGCCCGAGAGACGTTGCAATAGTATGGAAACTGAAAACTAAAAGATCTCCCCAAATTCGTAGAGTACCAACAACCCTATCATCGAGTCTTAAGCCATTTGTGTATGCATGGAAAGACTTGCCCCTTCTGCCATCTTTTCGATTCTCTTAAGGATATAAGTATCCAGAAGGATGGTTGTTATGTTTGGGGGTGTGAGTGCATATTCCATCAATCCGGGGAACTCCAGAAGCTCAGCCTCAATTTCTCTATGACCACATCTACTGTTTGACCACCTACTAATCAGATGCATAGCAGAACTGCATGTAGTCTGTTTCGCTGGTAAATCTACTGGAATAAACTCAGTAAGGCATAAATGCCTTCGTTTCGAGAACAACGCGATGAGGGTCTTTTCAATTTTGACGGACCTGAAAGTCCTGTTCAACGTCACTCCATATGCATCGCTGTAGTATTTTAGCCTAACACTTTTAGGGGATGAAAACGTGGTCTAAGCCGATATGTCAAGACCCAATCAGTTCGTTCACGAATGGTTTCAGTTTTTTCACTCGGTGTCGTTCACAGAGTCTTATTTGCAATGTTGAGAAGACTTATCTTTCGGTAGCTCAACAAGATCTCCAAAATTACGCTTGACATCTGGTGCAAGCGTACTTCCTTAGTCTTTGTGTTTTTTTTCAGTCGCATTAGTTTTTCCCGGCTCACCTTGATTTGATTGAAGAACGTGAGCTTTGTCTCTCAACTTTGTCTTCTCAGCTTTGTCATCGTCAAACGCGCCATCTGTGTGCTACGAGAAGTGTTTCTTTCATACGTCAAATATGTTTTGACATCTTATATCAGCTTTCAATCCTCCTTTTCGTAGATGAACGCCCCGGTCTTGAAACTGTTTGACTGCTGCCCTACTTTCTATTGCAATTTTCAGACTCACATTTCTAACTCTTGAGAAGGCATCTACCACCCCTCTTTTTTCTCGGTATCCATTTTTTGTCGCGCTAGTCGCAGTTAGCTGAAGGGTTGGGTGCTCTGAAGCGAGTTGTTTCCGCGTTGACGTTAAAAACCAACCACATAAAAGAGGATGATGAGAAGTTGCCTGCGAAAGCAGTATTTAGAGTGATTTATGTTATTCATTGATAAGGGTCCACCATACTTGTTTTCAATCATGCGGCCTTTGGTGCATTTTCTATACTGTATCTTAAATTACACTTACCCATTGTAGGGCTTACAGTTATGGGATGTGTTTTATAGGAGCTTCCCGGATGCCTGTCAGCCTGCGTGAGAAACTATGTACTTACCACAACATTGGGGGTTTCTGCGGCCGTGCGTTGTTTCCTCTCCTTATATTATTTGGTCACCGAAAGGTTCCATGCACGTGCTGGTATATGGCGCAGAAACATGGACAATGGCAACATCCGATGAGGCGGTTGTTCTTGCAGTATTCGTGAGAAAGAGGTTGCGGAAGATTTACTGGCCTTTCCGCGTTGGCGAAGCCAAACAGCTCCGAACGTATTCAACTCGGAACCCGCTGGTGGTAGCAGAGTAAGAGGGAGGCCCCCACTGCGAAGGAAAGGCCAAGTGGAAAAGGACTTAGTCACTTTGCATTTTCAATTGGCGTCAGTTTGCACAGAAGAGAAACGATTGGCGTGCTTTGTTAAACTCGAACAATAAGAAGAAACTCAGCACGCAACCTAAGAATCAGATGAACATATTAAAACTCATTCCCGGATACCTGTACGGATCAATATTCCACCGACGGACATGGCAAAAATACGTGATTGTTCTGAACCGGTCTGAACGACCTCTGTCTGAAAATTCGGGCTAGTCCACACCTTTCCAACGTCTCCAAGTGATGACGATCTCTTAAAAATAAAAATGTGTTGATAGAATGCGGTAAGGGCATCTTGTTCGCCAGTCAAAACCGACATAACGCGAAGGAAACTCCTAAGGCTCTACTAGCAAAACCTTCACTTGCCAGAGATTGGGATTCTCAAAGACAGGAGTCGGCAGACAATAGCATCCTGCGGAATGTAGTTTATACCTAATGTATGTACTTCGTCAAACTGGCAACACGTATGGTAGCACAACAAATTTGGCATAAACTCGACAAAGATAGGACCAACGTCCTAATTCTCCTGGTACGCCCTCGACTCAGGATGGCTTTTGGAAGCATTACTAGTCATCACCTAATGGGATTACACTCTATGTACTTATGTCGAATCTACATTGGAAACTCCATTCCAGTTTCCTGGCAATTGAAGCATATTTGAACAGATTTTTCTTTGAAGAGATCTCACAAACAATTCCGTTCTCTAGAGAACTTGTTGCAGTACAAGAATGCAAGTTCGACGTCTTCGGTAACGCTTCCAGCACTGGTACATGTGTCAGCGTCTTCCAGATTAAATCGTTTTAGGTAATCCTTAAAGCAGCCGTGACCTGTAATCAACTGAGTTAATTTCCTGCACTGTGTAGAAGCAGGCTACGGCATCTGGGATCAGCGTTCCTGGCTGACCTGACGTTTCAAACACCGACGCAAGATGCCTGAATCGGTTCACCACTGACCGGAAATGGTACAGCAGAGGCCTTCTATCAATGGACTAAGTGCGAATAGGTGAGAATGGCTCCAAGCTCTACACTGGTGATTACTATATGCTGCACATGGGCTGTAGGGCGCGACTGAGTATAGTCGAGCAACTGTAACTGCATATGTCAAAGCATAACAACAAGGACTAATCCTAAAAGCAGATGATTCTCTATTTGACACAAAAAGACACAACAGTACATTTTCTGGCAGGTACATACATACATATATATATACGAAATGAGCCAAGTCTATGACTAACAACATCTTAGCGGTACCAAAATGAGTGCCACCCAGCGAAGAAGTGAATCGACAAACGGAATCAGTGACGAGGGAGTGAGATATCGTTAAATCACAGCGTCTAATGCGAATATGCAAATGTATGTTAAATTGCCGTTACATAAAAGAAAAGAAGGCGTATCTTAATTTTGAATTTATCATAAAATGAAGAACGATGGCAACAAAAAAGGTAAAAGAAAACGCAGAATGGGAAAATGGTAGGTGAACCCTAAACCAAAAAAATTATCAATATATCTCGCAATGGATATCTGAATCTTGATATTGTCACAGTTAAGCTGTATTATAAATTTCAGCATTGGATGCAGAACTAAAATGTGAAAAACCTGTCAACACAAGCAACGAACAAACGAACAAACAATCGTAAAGGAAAACTCCTCCCCCACCCCATAAGAAAAACAGAAAGCCAAAGAAAAAAAAGTTGCAAATGGGCAATAAAATCACGAACTTCGAACTTTCCTAAAACCCAATCAAAGTAAGTTTGCCTGCTAGTGTTGACGCTGTGTCGTAGGTGGCTCCTTGACATATGCCAAAATGTGCCGAAATCAAATTCGAAACGCTTTGACACACGACGGCGGTGTTGATGGCGGCGTTACCTAAAGTGGCAAAGGCAAGCACGCTGGCGCTGAAGGTGGCAACCGCTGAAACCGCTAGTGATGTTTGTTGATGTCGGCAAAGCACACAGCATACATACCATCGCCGGCAAAGCGGAAGAGAAACTGCTGCATATGACACGATCAGTGTAGATCACTCACAGGCGATGGCTGAACGTCGTTTTGCACTCTGCATACAGCCGGGTGTTGCCATCAAAGACGATGACGATGACGACCAACTGACTGCCGAACAAATCAAATCAGCATACAATGGAAATGTGGTGGGAAACTACATACTAGCTGTTGACAAAGCCACCAGCCACCAGGCACCAGCCAATCGAGCCACCAATGGTGTCCAAAATAAATCATGGCAAGCGCCTGCGCTAACACTACAAAGGGACAATATGGGCGATTATGGATGTTTGTAGTATTGATCGCGTTCGTCGGTCGTCCAACGACGGGCTAAGGAAGGAAAGCAATGCCCACGTATGGAGCTATGAGGCGCCTGGCAAAAATAAAAATAAAAATGAAACAAGCAAGCAAGCGATTTCTATCTTTTACTAATATTTGATTGTACATAGAGTCTTTGTTCGCTGGCGACAGCTGTAGAAGCGCCATATTTTCCCATGACCACAGTTTGCAATTCAAATTTTGAAGCGTAACTGGAACAAGTAAGCCTTTTCGGCCCACCAAAGCAAATATACAGTCATTTTCGTATTCTTCTTCTTTTTCTACTTCTCACTTGAAGACACAACAATTCTGTCATGGCAACACGAAATTTGTCATGTGTTTACACTTTTTTACTTTGCCACATGCAAATTTACAAATTTCTTTACCGTAAAAAATCATAAGTTACGAGTATAACATATAAAGGGTACATACATAGTAGCAATAGGCACAGGCGGGTATGTATGCAAATGCATTCCAAAAATTTGGTACACCTTAGGCGCATAGCTCCTGCTTGTAGACAAGGCGAAAGCCACGACCCACATACTCGTCATCGCTGCGCACTGGTAATATAATTGGTCCCGCCGCGACATCCTTAACCGGAGCATTTTGTGTGAAGTCATCTGAAACGATGCCATCGTTGAAACGCTCACCACAGAGGCGCACTTGGTTGATGGCGATATAGTCATCGGGGCAATTGAAAATGCCAGCACCCGCCTGACCATCGGGCACCAAGTCCACTGCATCTAGAAAAAAATAAGTATGTAAAAGTACTAGGAAAAAATGTATGGAATTTTATTTACCTTCGTCTTTATTAACGATTTGAAAATCCAATTGATCGCCACCAATTTGCTCGGTGTTATAATTAACCGAGCACATATCCTTGGCCCGTAGTAGACAGATGGCATAATTTAAATTATTCTGAAAATGAAATATAATTATAATTAATAGTACTTAATTTAATGGCTCTTATATTTTGCTGTAAAGTTACCAGATATGTCGCTCCAACAGTGTTAACAAAGGTGCCTGCCGAATCATAGTTGAATGACTTCACAACGCCTTCAGTTTCTGGGTAAAACTGCAAACAACCCTCCGGAGCAAGATCGTTTTCGAGCTGGAGTTACATACTTTATTAATAAATGAAAGTTTGTATATAAATTAATGTGTGTATTATGTACAGTGAAACCTCGATATAACGAACTGAAGCGGTAGGACAAATGCTTCGTTATACCACAGTAGTTTACTGTGTGTACAACCGAACATTTCTGGACCAGTTCAGGGCTATTTTAAAAACGTTTCGGGACTAGTTTGGTATCATTTTCGGTCTAGTAAGGGACCATTTCAATATTTGTACGAGATCCTTTCCGGACTTTTTCAGAACCGCTTTAGGACTATTTGCGGACAATGTTGGGACTAGTTTCGGATCATTTCGGGATGGGTTGTTTGGTTGGTTTAAGTGGATTGTCACCCTGATGACAAATAATTAGCTAGTTTGCCATTTTGATAACACAACTCGTGCAACCTGCGGGCATTTGGCGGCCTTGATGAATTTCAGTACGTCATAGAGAGAGAGGCAGCTGCACTTTAAAAATACTCTGCAGAAATGGTTCGCGAGTGTCTTTATCCTCATCCTTGCGAGAGGTGGATACTCGCACAGGAAGTTTTCGACTGTCTCTTTTGAGCCCGGCTCATCGCAACTGCGACAGCACCTATTAATGGAAACCCCAAAGAACCAGGGCCATATACTCACTGCAATAAGTTTGTAGGTGGGTCGAAGGAGACCCAAAAAAGTGCCGGATAATCCTATATGTACGATCCTGTACGGTTCCACCTGTGCTCGGCCTCCGAGTGAGAAATTCCGGTAATTAGGGGCCACATTTAGTGCGGACCGACAGCTTGATAGTTTGTCTGCTGCCTCATTTTCGTAAATGTCCCTGTATTCCGGGACCCTTATTAGGGTAATTTCGTATGGATCAGAAATCGAGACCAGTAGCTGGACTCCAACATCCGCCAAAAGTCTCCGATACAATAGCAGGCGCGCCTAACAACATGCAACATGTAGCAAAATGTCTGTCGAGCTGCCAGATTTGGCTTATTACACATTTCGTTTGTTACTTTTCCATGTTGTATACTTTTAGGCCCCACTTTTTCGTAGCGATTCCTAGAATTCCACTGCAGCTCTCTCCTTTAGTCATCTACCAGTTGAGTTCAAACAGATGTAGAAGAGTGTGCCTGAATAGCCGCCTGGCTATCCGCCATAATATTCACCCGTCTTCTCGCGGGTACATTTTCTTTGATGTACTTTACTGTCTCTTTAATTGCAAACGTTTTGGCCTGGAAAACGCTTGCATAGTCTGCTAGGCGCAAGGATAACTTTAGGTTATACTGTTCAATAAAGATCCCTGCGCCAAACCCCCATTCCATCTTTGAGCTGTCCGTAAAGGCAGATATACCCTGCAAGAACTGAACCCTTCCTTGAATCTAATCACTGCGGTTTGGGAATTTCGTGTGGGGTTTGTGGTGAACCCATGTCTTCGAGAGGATATAGCCATTTGGCAGCGGTTTAATTCCAGTCGGCAATGCGTTTAAGATGAAACCATGCCCAAACGGTATTTCCACCCAGAGCCCCAAAGCATGCAATCTGATGGCGCTGTTAGCAGCTGAGTTTTCCTTAGAGACATCTATCGGTAATAAATCAAAAAGGACGTTCAAAATTTGGTACGCCATCGCTTGAATTCCGTTAAGTTATTTAACTACGCTTGTGGTTTGGCTTGCTGCCAGGCCATCGCTCTATAAGAGAGTACGGGTCGGACTATAGCTGTGTCTATCCAGTGCACAATTCTTGGTTTCAAACCGCAACTCTTGAATAACTTTATTTTGCCTGAAGGCTACCGCGATCTTCCTTGCACGCTTTTCAATGTTTGGCTTTCAATTAAATTTGGGAAACAGAATAACTCCGAGGGTATTTCACCTTGTTTGACTGTATCAGCTCCGTTCCTCGGACTCTTGGTTTAGTAAGACTAGGTAGATTTGTTTTATTTGTGCAAAGCACAAAGTCAGTTTTCTCAGGGTTTACGCTAAGAGAACAAATTATGGCCCTGGAATCTACTGTCAATGGAGCTCTTTCATTAATTTCTCTTATGACCGAAGGAAACTGACCCGCTACCAGTATTGCTACATCACCGAAGGTTTTCATACACAAAATTTTGAAATAGGGTTGCCACACGACCGCAAATTTTAGTGAATTAAATACATCTCTTAAGTAAAACAGTTTTAAATGTTTTTATGAATAGCTTCAAGGTCATTCGTCGCGAATCCGTGCAGGAGGAACTCAGGATCGAGAATCACACGCAGCTGCAATGGAATGGAATGGCAATGACAGATATACTTCCTGAAGTCCAAAACACCATAATCAGAGCAGATAAGTGTGTCACTGGAATTCGAGAACCTGAAGTTTTGGGTCAAATGTTGGACAAAAAGGTCTAAATAAAAAAAAACAAGTTTAAGGCGGGACGAATTATCCTATATTATACTTAAATTTTGTTAAGTAAAAAAATAATTTTTCAATATAATCATATTTACCTGTACTATTTTTATATTGAAGGACCGGTCACCTGCGGCTACTTTAGTGATAAACGAGAGATATATTTTCTTCTCAAAGGAATTGGTTACATCAACATATACTGGAAGGAATGGAAGATGGTATTGAAAGTAAATTTAATGAATTAAATAGCACAAATTAATTTATTCGTAGTGCATAATTAGTATAGGGACATTCGTCGACATTTCGACTTCAAGAAAAAACCTTCTCCAAGAACTTCTTAAGCTAATTAAACTGTACTGCTGAAATTTTTGTGGTGGAATTATTATAAATTTTATTTCTTTCGTATAAAGTACGGCCCAGTATAATGTAAATTTAAGAGACTCAGAAGATTTTCAGATTTAATTTAGATTACATTTTTTTGGATCATAAAAAAATTAAATCGGCCATAAAGATTATCAATTATAAAATTAAAATCCAAAATTATAAAAATAAAAATCCAAATTCAACGAAAAAGCAAATCCAAAAAAAATAGATTTTGCAATGGTCCAACAACAAAAATCTTGACGTTTAACGGTTATTTTCGGTCCCTGAATTTACTTGTTAACATCAAAGTTGCTTTTCTCGGAAACTTATTTTCGCACCGTAGCAAAATGGGGCAGCAACTAAAGGTCAACTCATTTTAACAGTAATCTTTACCTCCCCGCTTTCACCACCCATCAAACACAAAGTTTTTCACTAGAGGTGTGTATGAGTGTGAGGATGAAAATATTTTTGAAGAGGGTTGCCACCTGTTCAAATGTTAAAATCAATTTAATTAACTGGTTGAATTAAACCTTTTAATATGGATATCAAACGAGAGAGGTTTAAGAAAGCTTTATTTCGAAAATATTTTTAATAGTGTTGCCACTTGACTAGAGATTCAAAACACATTTATGTAACAAAAACTTTTTATGTAGTTATCAAACGAAAGAAATTTGAGATGGCTATATTTTGAAAATATCTTTGACGAGGGCTGCCACCTGCTTTAAAGGGGAAAATACATTTTGTCAATAAGTCAAACCGAGGTTTTAGAACGCGTTGTTTCGAAAAAAAGAAACGATAAAAGCTAGTAATTAAAATTTTGACTAACTTACTATGTTGGCCTGTATTAATTCCACAAAGTATGGGCACGACAAAATTTATATTCTGGCCGGATACGATAAACTGGTCATCCATGCAGTCGCCATCAGTAGGTCGATTCAGCTGGGAAAAAGGTAAAATTAAATTGTGGCAAATGCATTCAATTTCTCCTACAACTCACCTCAAACATGATAAAATCGAGTCGCAACTGTTGCACATTGTCCCGCAAGTTGATGATCAACACACATATCAACATTTCACGCACTGGTTCCGGATAGTTAGGGCTCTCAAAGTAAACCACCGATTGTTTGGTTGTACCGCCACAGCCAGTCAAAACTTTTTTGTCAAAAACGAAAGTAATGTACTAAGTTTATTGAAACGGAGCCTACTCGCCTTCAGCACACTCACATACACAACACACGCCCATACCATCTGCGCACGCCTCCGTCGGTATGCCGCCTAAACTTTTGCACTCAAACTCGTGATAGCAAATTCCCTCCATAGCCCGTACGCGTACATCAATCTCACCCATGGCCACCGAGCACTTGGTATTCTCGAATTTGATGACTTCGAAGAGACTGAGGAACCCCTTTGATTTCGTTTTGTTGCCACGGTTTTGCTGCTGCAACAGATTGAGCGCGAAAGGGGAGCCATGAAAGAGCAACTGCTTTATGGCATTTCCAATTTGTGGTGGTCTCATGATGGAGTTTATAGTGTCTGAAGCTGCGGCAGAATTGACTGTAGGCAATGTCATGACAACTGTAGCTGGTGTTGGTGTTGTAACAATCTGTGCTGACCTCACTGTAGACGAAGGCGATGGCCGGTCAGTAGGCAATGCAGCTATTGGTTGCTCTAAGAACTCTTCTTCTGAATCTTGCTCATCGTACTCATCTGCTGCATCCGCTTCACTAGTATCAGCATCCGCCGTGCTTGTAGGGGCAGAGTCCGTTGGTATGTCGACCTGCGGCTGTTTATGCCACAGCAAGCGTGGCATTTGATGCAAAGGCCTATAGCGTAAGCCATAATAATCGGATATATCGGCATAACGTGTCCACTCTCTCGACCCACTTAACACTTTATAATTATTTTCCGATGCAGTACTGATATCCTCCAGTGACCAATTATTTTGTACTCGCAACGTGACAAAGTCGCTAACATATGACACAACCACACCCACTAATGTGGTGCAAATGCTCAAATTGACCAGCAACAATTGTTGCTGCATAGCTGCTATGTCCGCTAATGAAACGTTTTGAACGGAAGCCACAGTCTAGACTGTTGTCAGCGCCAAACTGATGGTCTCCACGCACCGAATGATGTTTCACTTTTACAACTTTTACAACATTCTTAGCAGATTTCTTCCGATGCGAATACATATGTATCTTTCTTTCAGTTTCTTTAAGCCTCTCAAGCGCTTTATTAGAGCATTAATTGTGAACAAGCCTTTTCTGTGTAGCATATGCAATGTGACAATAATAACAACAGCAACAGTATGTAGTAAGCAATGCAACCTTCACTTTTGCGGCAGCTGCTTTAAACTTTTTTGTTTTTGTCATGGTAATGTGATTTCAAATGTTGCACAGATACATGTTGCTGAAAGTAGAATAGGAAAGTGGTGTAAAAAAGCGAGACCCGCTTAAAAGTAGGGTTTTAATACAAATCAATTTAAATTCGTTGCGTAGGTCTTGAAATTTCCAAAAGCATTTGGTAGCAAGAAGACTGGGAAATGCTTCTAAGTTTCCTTAGCGGGAAATAAGTAAAAGTCGATCACAGATTTGCTAAGTATTTTGTCGAGCTTATCGTACGATTTGTGGCAGTTATCGCACTTCTAACCTACGACACCGTCACTTTCATTTATATTGGCTATCTACCTGATCCAGTATAACGCAGTTTCGTTGTGTTAACTGACCCCTTTTTGAAATACTAAGGCGATAAGGCTAAGTACTTCTCGTATTCATGTCTCAGAAGTCCTTCTACCGTGTCAGATTACCAGAAAAATCTGGCCAAAAGTTGATGAACCGCTATTCTCTCAGATTAGTATTTGGAGTGATAAGCCTTTTTGTTTCACCAGTCGACATTTCTGTCCATCACCCAAACTTTCATCACAAATTATATCCACGGAAGAGCTACATACGAAAAATATCGAAGTCTCACTTATAAACATCAGACTTCAATTTAATACTCACTTTTCATTAGTAGATGAATTAGGCGAAATCGGACAATAACGAATAAATTCTAATATAACGGTATTTATAAAAAAAAACGACATTATTAAAAAACTTCTTTTTTTAAGTTTTAAAATAAGCGTAGATAAATTTTTAAATCAGTTAATAACAACGCCCACTTCCCATATTACAGTATTTTTCACAAAATAGAAACAATCCAATATTTCAATAATAAATAAACTAATACATGGAGATATCTTTACGTAAACTACTTATTTTTATTAAAAAAAAAAAAAGACGCCACTTTCTACGAAATTGGTAACCGGTACCAAAAATTCGAATTTTTGAGTTTAGTAACCGGTACAAAACGATTTCATTTTTAAACTACCATAATAAATAATATGAGTGTGACCTACCGCCTCTTCCCAAAATTGGTAACTCCTAATAAAAACCCGGGTTTTTGAAAATTGGTAACCGGTACAAAAAACCGATCTCATTTTCTTAGTTCATAGTGATTCTTATAGGAGTAAAGTTCCAACAAATTTCGACCACTTCTTATATTTTTCTACATTTATCCATTTGTGCGTCAGCGCTTTCATTAATTAAAAATATTTCCTATCGAATTTAGAGATAGGACATTTTCCCATTTTTATTGAAATATTTTTCCGGAATTTTTTCCACCTTAAGTGCTACAGTGGCTGGCCTAATTGTAACTTTTAATAGCAACGTTATTTTTCTCAAAAGAGAAAGCTTCGTAAGCCTAAATACCAAAACAGTCAGTGTGAGACTTTAACTTAGAGCTGGAAAACTATCGATGGTCGTGGCCATACGGTTTTACCTGCTCTGTGTACTGTGCGTGGTTGATCTCGGTTCGCATTTCTTGAGCTATGAGATCGAGAGGGCATAATCCCGAGATGATAACAGCTGCAGCTTCGGAAACAGTTCTGAAAGCTGAACACACTCTAAGAGCACATAAGCGATACGTAGCCGATTGTAGGATGGCGATTTGAAAGCGTCGAGCCGAACTATCGATCCATGGAGCAGTATTGATCGTTAAACGCCTATTAATACTTCCCTAGAATGCTATCTTGCTCCCCCAACGTTCGCAATTAGTATAGATAGGGCTGCTGTTGCCGTCGCTGCCCTTTGTTGGCGTAATTCAAATGATCCTGGAAGCAATGTCGGTGATCAACCAGGACTTCGATTAAACAGGTTTACAAAAAAATAACTTTCTACATATTAAACCATACCTCTATACCTATGTTATTCTACTGACTTGCTGAACCCGGATCCAAGGTCTGTTAACCTCCATAATGTCAGGTTCGAATACACATAAAATGCATACTCATAGGTTTTTGTTGTCGCAGAATCCGAATATAGGGATCCTTCTTCAAGGTCATCTCAAGGTCAAATTCAGAATTGAGTTTTCTGGTTTATTCAATGAATTTTCCCCTACTGGACCTTCAAATGACCTCGAACCAGACGTTATGGACCTAACATAACATTGGGATATGGAGGTTTGCTTTAATATGCAGAAACTTTGTTTTTTTGTTTGTAAACTTGTGTTATTTTTCATGCAGGTTTTTTTCACTTCTTTGGTGGGCTCTATTTTGCTGATGGATCTGTCTTAGAGCATAGGTATTGCCTTAAAGTTTGTACGAAGAACCCTACAGGAAAATGTGTGAAGCTGCCCACAATGCCGCCATATAGAAAGCAGCTGCGTAGAATTAAGTCGCATTTTTAGTCAGGTAATCGAGAACTAATGATGAGACAATCGCTTCTATAAATAGTTACTATAAATTTGAATTTACTCTCTCAAGGTTGATAACATCAAAGCTGGCTATGAACTCCTGTACATATTTCCATGTAAATTTCCTATAATACTCACATATTTCATAAATACTTGATGCGTATATGAATATGCATATACACTAGGGCGGGTCGAAAATCTAATTTTTCTCAAATCCCATGGTAATAGTGAAAATATATTGTATCATGAAGTCAACAACAAGCCTGCGAAATATTAGTCTTTCATTTTAATTGTAAGAGCCCGCGCATCGACCGCCAAGTGACCCACAGCACAGTAGTCGAATAAGACCAATTCTTGTTAAATATTCTGTGTTTAGCCAAAACTTTTGGTGCATATTATTAGGTAATGAATCCTTTAACGCAAAAGATAAAGTCAAGTATCATTTCGCGTAGCCGTTTATCTTATCGTTAATCTCAAACTCATCTATTTTCAAGAAAATTTTAATTGTTCTCTTGATAATTGCATTGGCCTATAGTCAAAAGATGTAAAGAACAACATTAATATTGCTGGCGTGCATTTAGATCGCTAGTTCCAAATATTCTAATCCTTTTTTAATATTAGCTATAGTTTGCGATTTTTTTCAAATTTAGGAACAATTTCGGTAGCTCTAATAGAATAGCCATTATTTTCCATTATCGCGGAAAAATTTTGTTTATGCAAATTAGTATGGAAACACTGAACAGGCACAACTTCTAGACACACTAATTGGTTTACTTATGTTTATGCATACAATATAAAAATTGCAAATATAAGAAAATGATAAAAAATTTTGTTCAAGATTTTTTTTATTTTAAAATAATTTGTTTATAATCTGAACTATTTTAGTCGTATTATTATCAAAAATCAGTAACATAAAGTCTCGCCTTCAATTTGTTAATTATTACGCACCGATCGAGTAACATTTACCAAAGTTATATCGAAAAGCTTAAGTGGATTTCCAGTTTTTTTCTAAAAAAATTTCTCTTCAATTGTATAAATAACCTTAAATAAATAACCTTAAATAAATAAAAGAACCGGATTGCAGAAAACTGTGCCAGCGAGTGACTTTTTTCGTTCAAGCTGAATGCAAAGCAATATCGTCCAATTGGAGAGTCCTCAAAAGGATTTCCCAGGATATGTTGAAAACTATTGCATTTACCTACAGACACTTTTTCACATAATGGAAATAACTAAAATATTTATGTATATCTAAACACTTATTGCACGTCCCCTACTTTCATATAACGGCAAATTTAGAAACCGCGAAAAATGTGCTTCTGCGGCGACTAATGAAACCATTCCGCACCAGTTTTCAAGACTGCAAAAATGGACTTAAAATAGGCGTTTCTCAACCTAATTGTAATGTATGCAAATAATTATATGTTTGAAACTACTATCAACTTGTCGAACGATTCCTAATCTTTGACAATACATTCATTCACGATCTTGAAAACTGACCAAATCGGCGTGACCAAGTCCAAGGTCATTTTAATATTACTAGTGTTCGCCCAGCGGTTGAAATTCAACCGCTAAAATTAAG